GACAACTCCATTCCCAACCCTTTTTTAGGATGGGATTACAATCCCACACACAATATAGAAAGATCAGAAAGAGGGGAAAAAGAGGAGGAAGAAAAAGGAAACAAGAAAAGGAGAAGAGACCCATAGGGGAAGGTATATATAATTTAAGCGGTATACCATTAAATAGTGATGAGATTAAAACATTGGATAGAGGTCTGAAGTTTGCACCAACTAATAAATTGAACAAGTTTGAAACTTATGTAAGCGTGCAAAAATTTATAAGAAAAAATAAATTTAAAAAAATATTTTCATACAGAATCCTATTGAGACCAATAATCAGAGTGTTGGGAATATACAACATAGTACGTTGAAAAATAAATCATTATTCAATCCCAAAAATCAAGACAACCTATATATAAATAATTTTAAGAAAATGGTGATAGAAGATATAGAAGAACTAAAGATCAAAACATTTAAAGGAGAATTTGATATAAATAGAGGAATAAAATCTCTGCAAGACAGAAACAACATAGTGGTGAGACCAGCAGACAAGGGGGGGGGGGGAATAGTGTTATTATCGAAAGATTCTTATGAAATGTCCATGAGTAAAATGTTAGGTGACACTGATACTTATTGTAAATTAACTAACAACCCCACTAAGATATATAAAACAGAATTAAGTAAATTAGTACTATATGGAAAACAAAGAAATATTTTGGATGATAAGGAAGCAAATTATTTGGTGCCCTCAGTTAGCAAGATACCAGTTCTGTACTCAATACCAAAAATACATAAAAGTTTAGAGGATCCCCCCATGAGACCCATAGTTAATGGTATAGATGGGCTACTATCTAGGATTGGACAGTATATAGATCAATTTCTTCAACCCCTAGTAGAGAAGACAAAAGCGTATATAAAAGACACTACACATGTGATTAATATTGTTCAAACAGTGGAAAAGAAGAATAATCTAATTCTAAGTACAGCAGACGTCTCTTCATTGTATACTATAATTGACAATGCCGGAGCAATAGAGGCAGCAACTTGGGCTTTGAACAAATATTCTACTCTCTCTAAGAAACAAATCAAATTTCTGATTAAATGCATCAGATTTTGTCTCAGCCATAACTATTTTTGGTATAAGGGAGAATACTACTTGCAGATAAGGGGAGTTGCCATGGGCGCCCGTTTTGCACCCAGTATTGCCAATCTGTATATGGCAAAATGGGAGGATGAAGTAGTATTCTCCAATATAAATAGCAATATAGTTGTATATGGCAGATTCATTGATGATATCCTAATATTGTGGAAAGGTGATACACTATCATTGATGGATTATTACCAAAATCTAAATTTGAACATCAAAAATATTGTATTGAGTTGGAACATCAATGAGAAGGAAATACATTTTCTAGATCTCACTTTAGTGAACACATATGAAGGGATAATAACAAAAAATCATTTCAAAAAAAACTGATCGCAATTCATATATCCCGGTCAACAGCTGCCACTATAGACCATGGATCAAAAATGTACCAAGGGGACAATTTTACAGGTTACGACGCAATTGCACTAATATTGAAGATTACAGAGAACAAAGTCAAATACTGGTTCAAAGATTTGTAGACAAGGGTTATAAGAAAGAAACGATATTGGATGAAAGAGGTAAAATAGAACTTATAGACAGAACAACACTGTTAGAGGGGAAGAAGAAACCAAAGGTTAGAGAACAAGAATTATCTATAGTATTACCATATAGTAGACAATATAGAGATGTCCAGAAAATTATAAATAAACATTGGAATATTCTTCAACTTGATAAAACCTTGAAGAATATTGTTAAAGAACAACCCAGGTTTATTTATAAAAGAGCACCTAATATCCGTGACCGAGTAGTCAAAAATGTGTTAGAACCCCCCCAAACTCTGAAAAATACTTTAAGTTTCTTTAGTGGAACTGGGTTTTATAAATGTGGTCGGTGCTACAGTTGTAGAAAAACACATTCGAATCCAAGACATAGAGGGGTTTATTTACTAAAGCTGGAGAGTCCAAAATCAGACTCCCTTCTGCATAGAAACCAATCAGCTTCTAACCTCAGCTTGTTCAATGAAGCTTTGGCAATGAAACCTGGAAGCTGATTGGTTTCTATGCAGAAGGGCGTCTGATTTTGGACTCTCCAGCTTTAGTAAATAAACCCCAGAGAGTCATTTACAAATCCAAGGAACGGTAAACAATATAAAATAGATCAATTCATTTCTTGTGACAGTACAGGTGTAGTGTATGCCTTAAAATGTCCCTGCAATTATCTATATATAGGTCGTACAAAGAGAAGTCTGAAAGAACGCATGCAAGAACACGTACACAATATAGATATTGGATTTAAATACCATCATCTATCAGTACATTTCAAAACACACCATAATCAAGATATAGACAAAATAGAATTTTGGGGTATCACTAAACACTATTCACACTGGAGGGGGGATAATTTAGTACGTGAAATAAGTAAAAAAGAATCATTTTGGATTTATGAGTTGGGCAGTTTAGCGCCAGGAGGACTAAACAAAAATTTTGATTTATCATGTTTCATCAGTGACATTTAGATTGTGCAATATACGCCAGATTCAATATTATATATTTAGTCCTATATTAATATTTAGTAGTTTGATGGGGTGTGGGTGGAGGTATATCGGAGTAGGATTAGGGCGTCATCCTGCTCTGATTATCTTCCACCTTGTATTCCTTATACACCTCATTAAACTAGTCTCCAATTAGTGCTTAGTTTAGTGTCATTACAGGTTATCAGAAGCACACTTATATATATATTTTTTAATCAATCATTATTTTTATTTTTTTTATTTTTATATATATTTTTTATTTTATATATTTTTTATTTTAATTATTTTAACAATTAATTGTTTTGTACCATGGATTAAATTATTGCATTTTGGTAATTTGTAATGTAATTTTATATGTTTTGTATTTTGATCATATTTGCATATTCCATATAGTGATGTACTCATTTTGTTGGAAAAGATTAGATATATCCGTGCTGACTGCGGGGCTGTGATGCTATGTACCCCTCCGGGATGATTACAGTGTTACTGGAATCATATGTAGCAATGGATGATAGCGTCCTATTTATCTCCAGGAAAATGGCTGCCCCCATTAGATAGTCAATAAAATGGCGGAGCCGTGCTTTATAAGCCGGCAACTTGCGAGTGACGGACCAATCAAATCCCCCTGATGAAGCCACGTGACCAGTGGCGTAACGCGTAGGGGTGGGACTGTTAACGTCACTCGGAGGGAGTCAGTCCGTTCACCGGATCACGAGCACACAGCTCCGGCAGCCAGCGGCAGTCTGGGATCGTATCTGTACTACCACTATCCGCACACATGTGAGTGCCATACCTTAAAGCAAATAAAAGTCAAGCTTTTAAACGATAAAGCACCATGTCGAGATCTTTTTTATATGTGGAGAACCGCATGGAGATGAAAATATAGAGGTATAGCACCCTCTGGAGAAGAGATTCATTCCATAGCATATGTCGCATACCATGGATATCTTATAACAGGAGTTCTTAACAAGCAGGTTCCAAAGGAGGTGAACCGCAAGCTTATATAGCCTAATTGCAGGCTTCCTATGAGGTGAGCGCATATCTTCACTTGAGGGAGGATTCACAAGTGTCACCGATATTAATTGAAGATTTTTTCAGCACTAAGTCACTTTTTGGGACATTAATTCTATATATATATTATATATATTATATATACTATATTTTTATATTTTATTTATTTAATTTATTTTTGTTTGTTCATCACTGTTCTATGCACATGGTTTATCTGAGTTGATTTAGAAAACTCCGAGTATAAGTATATTACAATTTTATGTTTATGTATACACGTCATTCTTAATAATTGCGCAAAAATTTTTTTTTTATAAAGATATAAATTATTATATATTGATTGAAGGTTGAGAGCGCAACACTAAATATATTTTCATAGAAGGTTTTTGTAGGTTTGGAGTTGTTACACATAGCGCGGGTTTTATCAATTTATAGTGATGACATCATTGCCCAAATCTGGGGGTCACCAGCCATTTCCACCCTTTACTCCCCGCTGGGGGGCTTTGTATTACTGCAAAATCAAAGGGGCCAAAATCCCTCCCCCGAGCAGTCATATTTTTCTGTCCCCCTTGGTGGGAGTGGAGGTGACCCCTCTATAAGGATCTACAGTCCATACACACCCAGCACAAGGCCGGGGTCACACTACCAGACGCTTCTCGGGGCTGCAGTTCCTCTGAGCTCCACAAGGTGGAGATCTCACTTCTACCCAGACAGGAAGTCTCTATGGAAGACAGACAGGAAGTGATGTCAGGTACACACAGGAAGTTCCAGGGGAGAGGTGAATCAGGAGGAAGCAGAGAGGAGACATTGTTGGATTTGGTAGTAGAGGAGGTAATAAGTAGATGAACCCCTTCAGGGGGAGGAGTTGATGATAATATATTTGCTCCCAAAGCTGGCCTACATGGTTCAGTTTTATCGTTCAGCCAGCGGGATGACCATAAAAACTGAAGTGATTCCCCCATCCACGGGAGTGGCTTTTATCCGGCAGTGGCCACACATGGATGGAAATGTGAGCGATCCCTGCTGAACCAGCTGAATTTCCATGGATCTATGGTCACCTTCAGTGACTTCCTCCCCTCCCCCTCATCTCCTTCATGATGGAAGTCATGCTGAGATCATCTCCCATTGGCTGAGCAATATTCTCATTTGTCTCTCAGCTCCTTCTTGCTATTCCTCGTCCTGCCTGTTGTTTCCTTGGATTGATTTTCTGTGTAGTGACCCCGGCTTGGTCTCTTGGATGCGCTATATATTTCATTCTGAAGTGAGAGTTTAATAAAATGGAGACCTGAATGGAGAGGTGAGGAGGATTCTGGGAATATCATTTGATGTGACTATTTGTGTTCAGATGTAGAGTTTTCCTCCTGTGAAGTCTGGAGATCATATGACATCACATTGCCTCCACCTCCCTCCCTGATAGAAGAGAGAAAGAAGAAGAAGATTCTAGAAGTCACCAGAGAGATCACTGAGCTGCTGACAGGAGAGGTGAGCGGTGCCGGGAATTCTGGGACATTCTCCAGTAACAGACAAGGGATGTGTCTGGATGGTGACTGTATCATTGTGTGTGTCAGGTTCCTATAAGGTGTCAGGGTGTCACTGTCTATTTCTCCATGGAGGAGTGGGAGTATTTAGAAGGACACAAGGATCTCTACAAGGACGTCATGATGGACAATCAGCCGCCCCTCACATCACCGGGTAAGAGGAGACTTTATTGTAAAGGAGAGAGCAGTACGGAGGATCCACCTAGATCCCCCATCATCTGATAAACACATAGAAACAATGGATTCAGTCAGTGTGTGTGTTTTTCCCTACAGATGGATCCAGTCATGGGAACCCACCAGAGAGATGTCCCCGTCCCCGTCCTCTGTATTCCCGGGATTCCACACAGGAAGGTCACACCATCCCTCACCATCATCAGGTAGATGAGGAACAATCACTGATAGTATCATTAGGATCTGTACATTATCTGCATTGTTACCATTGATGTCATTTTTATTATATATTCAGAGTGGAAACCTGAGAGATCCTAAAATTGAGGTTAAAGAAGAGATAAAAGAGGAGGAGGAGAGGATGGGGGGATGGAGGAGTCAGAGCTTCTAAAAAAACACAAAGATCTGTACCAGGACACCATGGTGGAGTCATCCAGCTACAGGAACCCACCAGAGAGATGTCCCCGTCCTCTGTATTCCCGGGATTCCACACAGGAAGGTCACACCATCCCTCACCATCATCAGGTAGATGATGACAATTATTGGTAGTTGTGATTTATACACAGCATGTTTGTTACAATGAATGTTTTATTATTATCTTTCAGAGTGGAATCCTCGGGGATGATAATATTGATGTTAAAGAAGAGTAGTATAAAGAGGAGGATGAGGAGTATGGAGTGATGGAGGAGTTTTCAGAAGGACACAAGGATATGATGGAGCCACCTAATACCAGGAACCCACCAGAGAGATGTCCCCGTCCTCTGTATTCCCGGGATTCCACACAGGAAGGTCACACCATCCCTCACTATTACAAGGTTGGTGGGATGGAGCATCTAGAACATGGACTTGTAGAGAGACAATGTGTGGATTTTTTTATGTGATGCCTTAAATTTTACAGATGATATTTTCTCTCATTTTCTTGATTTAGAGTGGAGATCCAATCGATATAGAATTTGAGGTGAAAGCAGAAGAAGAAGAGGCGTATGTGAGGGATGATCAGCAGTCTATGGAGGAGGATGGAATAACGGGGACATTTATAGAGGAGGACACTCCTACAGAGATCAGCACAGGTGGGTCATGAACACTAAATCCATTCCTCCACCCATACTGCTCACTGATTGGTCCAGAGTAGGGCGGGGACTGGGTGATATCAGCCTGTAATCCCCTGGTCACTTTCCTGAGCTGTGTTCCCCGTCCTGTATTCCTGGATTTCTCTCGGATAATCTTCCTTCTCTGTGCTGCAGACACAATTTATGTATCTAGACTGGATTTATGGAGGTTCTGGGGTTCAGCTGGCAGCAAAATGTTGATTTTTCACCATAGACATTGCTTGACTTAGGCAACTGGGGTGTTGAGTGTTTGGGTTCTTTCCCCCCATGCCCTGGGTCTAGTAAGATCTCTGACAGAACATTTCTCCCAGGGTTCCTTGCTCTGTGGTCTGCTGGCTGTGCCGGGTGGAGGATATGTCTGTCTAGTGTCTCAGTGACCCAAGTCACTGAGTGCAGTCTCAGGAGATGGGAGGCAGCGGTGTGGGATCTCTGCAACTTGTCTACAGTAAACATTTAATGGCCACTGAATACTGACATCCAATATTATGGAATTATAACAAAGTGAAGCAACCCTGAGAACAGCAACTATAGCCACCAAGTGGTGTGCCATTACATATCCTGAGCTCACATACTATATATCATCTAATGTTGAACGCATAGTGCGCAGATAGTCGCCAACTGTACATGCCTGAGTCCTGCACTATATACTCCAAACTTGGTGTGGCCTTACATACTCCTGAGTCACAACAGTGCACTATATACTCTATGTTGTACATTACATACTCCTGACCCCTGCACTATATACTCTATGTTGTACATTACATACTCCTGACCCCTGCACTATATACTCTATGTTGTACATTGTAATACGCTGACCTGCACTCTACTGCACTATATTACTACTCTTGACATGCACATACTCTCCTTACTCCCTGCACTATATACTCTATGTTGTACATTACATACTCCTTGACCTGACTGCACTATATACTCTATGTTGTACATTTTGTGGACCCCTGGGGGATTATGGTACTTGTTGTATTTACATTACTCCTGACCCTGCACTATATACTGATGTTGTACATTTACATACTTTTGACCCCTGCATGCTATATACTTTGTGGGACATTTGGGGATGGCCCCTTCCCTTCTACACCCCTGACTGCTACTCAGTGTACATTACATACTCCTGACCCCTCCATATACCCCTATGTGTAAGGAACTTACTGACCCCTGCCTGTTGTACATTACATACTCCTGACCCCTGCACTATACACTCTGTTGTTGTACATTACATACTCCTGACCCCTGCACTATTACTCTGGCCTGTTGTACTTTACATACTCCTGACCCCTGCACCCTATAACTCTATGTTGTACATTACATACTCCTGACCCCTGCACTGCATATACTGCAATGTTGTACATTCATACTCCTGAACCCTGCACACTATACTCTATGTTTAAAGGTACATGTGTGTGATACTCCTGACCCCTGCACTATATACTCTATGTTGTACATTACATACATACTCCCTGACCCCTGCACTATATACTATATGTTGTACATTACATACTCCTGACCCCTGCACTATATATACTCTATTGTACATTACATACTCCTGACCCCTGCACTGTTATACTTACATATGTTGTACATTATTACATATCTGATACTCCTACTTTTGAATCCTATATATATAAGTTGTATACACATACTGTATGGATTCTCTTTTTTTCCCCCATTTTCCTCCCAGCTGGACATTTTATATCGGATGATGTGATTGGAGCACAGACTTTTACATGGTGATAATAATGTGATAACATCCTCCAACTTTGGACCCTTAAACAGAAAGTGATAATGAGGGAGGAGTCAATACCCCAATGATGGTGGTCTTCAGGATCAGTCCAGTCTTCATCTTGGTTGTTCTCCCCCCATCCTCACTCTCTGACCTCTGGTGGGGCTCAGCCCCGCTGTTCTTCATGACTAAATCATGGACTAAATAAGGAAGTGCAGTACTTCTTGTGTTGGGAAGATGGCGATGAGTGATAGAGGGGGTGGGGACCCTCGTCCTATAATCCCCTCATCACTGTCCCTCCTATAAAAGACAGTTCTGGTTGTTTCCTCACTCTCTGACTAAGGTCCATGAATAAAGAAATGACCTGGTAGGAGATCAGAGGAGCCATTTCCTAGTTCCCTTGAGGGTGGAATTGTAAGCTCCTCAGAGACCAAGCTGCCTGATGTGGGCGGAGTCCTGGTTTGGGGGAACCAATCAGCTCCTGTCTAGTAATCCTCTTTGTCTTTGTATTTTAGTCCATGGCCGGGAGATGAGGAAAACCTCTCGAGGATTGTCTCACTTTGTCTCCAGACTGGAAAGTAGAAGATGAGGACATCACACAGTATAGTCCAGGAGAAAACCCGGCTCCCTCCAATGTCCATCCGGCACCACCCAGTGTAGATGGACCATCGGATTCCTCGTATCCTGAGGAACCTCAGACTGTGCGGGACCGGGCCGGCCTTCCAACAGGGAAGAGAACTTCTCCTGTCCTGAGTGCGGGAAAGGTTTTCCGTTATAAATCACACGGGGAAAAGCCGTCTTAATGTGCATAAAAGATCTCACACACGGGGAGAAGCCGTTTTCCTGTTCTGAGTGCGGGAAATGTTTTTCAAAAAATCCCACCTTTCAGATACATCATACAACACAGACCACGGAGAAGCCATATTCCTGTCCTGAGTGTGAGAAGCCATATTCCTGTCCTGAGTGTGAGAAATGTTTTTTTCAAAAATCCATCTTTCACACATCAAGATCTCACACACACAGGGGAAAAAGCCGTATTATTCCTGTCTGAGTGTGGGAAATGTTTTTCAGACAAGTCCGTCTTTCACAGACATCAGAGATCTCACACGGGGGAGAAGCCATATTCCTGTCCTGAGTGTGGGAAATGTTTTTCAGAAAAATCAAAGCTTTCACACATCAGAGATCTCACACAGGGAAAAGCCGTATTCCTGTCCTGAGTGTGGGAAATGTTTTTCAGAGAAGTCCAGTCTTTACAGACATCAGAGATCTCACACAGGGGAGAAGCCACTTTCCTGTCCTGAGTGCGGGAAATGTTTTTCAAGGAAGTCCCATCTTTACACACATCAGAGATCTCACACGGGGGAGAAGCCATATTCCTGTCCTGAGTGTGGGAAATGTTTTTCAAGGAAGTCTAGCTTTACACACATCAGAGAGATCTCACACAGGGGAGAAGCCATATTCCTGTCCTGAGTGTGGGGAATGTTTTTCAGTGAAGTCCAATATTTTACAAACATCAGAGATCTCACACAGGGGAGAGCCCATATTCCTGTCCTGAGTGTGGGAAAATGTTTTTCAGAAGTACCATCTTTTCAGACATCAGAGATTTCACAAAGGGGGGAGAAACCACTTTCCTGTCCTGAGTGAGGGAAATGTTCCTCACTGAAGTCCTGTCTTCCTGTACATCAGGGGTCCCACACAACCCTGGAGGTGTATTAGTGCCTTGAGTGTGGGAAATGTCTTCTAGATGAATGTTGCTGGACATCCCAGCTCTCATGTGGGAAGAAGCACACCCTGATATACACCTCAGATATACTCCATGGCTGATCTTCATCATGGAAGAAACAGTTCATAAGGAGATCAGAGGTCCCCAAAGACATGGTAGCAGAAGCTCTCACAAACACTTGGAGGTGTGGAAGTGTGAGGTCCTGCCACTGTGAAAATGACACAGGTTCCTCCTGGCTGCTGTTTGAGAAGCTCCAACATTTATTTTGTGAGCAGAGAAAACTGTGTTCTAGATTTTCAATGGATTTGGTAGTTCCGGGTCAGGACCTGGAGCTTGAAGGTTCCAGAGATTCTTGGCGGGGACAAGACCTTCAGTCCCATGTCCAGGCTTTGCTAGATGCCTGCAGCCTGTGTGAGTACATAGGTGGGCAGGATCGTTATAGGCCAGGTCTTCTGACATTTGGAGACAGGACCCTGTCAGGAGAGCTGGGGGTTCGTGCTGGAGACTGCATCCTTTGTGAGGTGGGATTCCTTGCCCAAGGACTGGGAAAGTCGGGACAGCGTCTGGGGGACCTGAAGTAGCTTGTGAGTCCAGGGGGTGGAGGGAGTCCAGAAGTCAATGGAGAAAATGATCAAGCTTGAGGGGGGCTGGGGAACCCTATTTAGGGGCCAGGAGTGGACCTGTGTATTGAGGTGCTGTAACCAAGGCTGAGTAATCCTAAAGAAGTCCTAGTCTGGGGGACCAGTGTACAGATCAGCGGTGCTGCTGAAGTGTAGCAAGGTGAGCTAGCATTTTCAGTTATCTGATGTATTGACAAAGCTGGAAAATCCCCTGCGTGGGAAACCTTATGGTGTAAAGACTTTCATTTTCCTTCTTAATAAAAGTGGGCTGCCGTGCCGATAAACTGCAAGTCTTGACTGACGTGGACTCACTTACAAACATCTACCACAGGAGCTAACAAACCCCCATATCACAGAGGGATTTCAGGAAAATACTGCATTGAGGCCACTAGATGGAGCTGACCATCATAGGAAATCATTGTGTAAAATAAATGATGGCCAGAATGTATCTGGGCGGGGCAAATGCTCCTCACATTTGTCCAACTTTCACTTGCAGTAAGTTTTTATTATTAAAGTTTTGTAGGATACATTGTGCAACTCGTACAAATGTTCAGAAGTAACCAACCCATGAAAACAATTCCAGCGTGCATCCGTAAATCATACAAGAGAATACAAGTGATGGATATAAAGATCAATGAGCGCGGCGTGTTACAAGATCGGGTTTACAGTAACGATACACATTGTAAGAATGACAACAAGAGGATAATTAGGGAAGAAGAAGAGAATAAAATGAGGGGGAGGGGAAATCTTGAGTTAGCCATAATTTGGGAGACACTCTTGGACTGGGTGTGAGAGTCGGGTCCTGCACAGAGGATAGGCAAGATACCCAGTAACCAAGGCCTCCCAGGTCAGGGGGCCGAGAGAAAAGGAAGAGGGAAGGAAATAGAATAAGGTTCTAAGACAAAAAGGAGAACAGAGGAAGGACATCGGGGACCCCCTTACCAGAAACCTGGGGCCTCAATGCCGGTGTCCAGGGACATGGAGGGGCGAATGTAATGTATCCACGGGGCCCAGATTTCTAAGAATTGCTTATAAGGCATCTTCCTTGGATGACATCTATGTGAAGATAGACTTCCATGAGAGGGGCCAAGCTCTTGTTTCCAAGCTTTGGTTTGCTGCTAGTAGAACATTTATAGCCAACATAAATTGGGAACTTGTGAGGCCTCGGGGGGCTTCAAATGCCATAAGATGTACCAAGGGTTCCTGGGAAAGTGTTAGGCTAGTAATGTTTGTAACTGTTTTAGGACCTTTGTCCAAGAAACAAGCAGCTGCTCCTGTGGCAGTCCCTGTGTCACGGGAGGCCCAGAGAATATCCAGGAAGGACTTTAAGCCCTACCAAGAGCACACCGGAGATGTGGATGGGTTATTCCAGGACTTTGAATACCAGTGTGAACTATTGGAGGTCCCACCCACAGACTGGACTCGCCATGTGGTAGAGCTGCTTGATGGAGGGGCTGCTGAGGCCTGCCGAATGATGGACCCCCTCCAGAGGTGGAACTATGAGGAGATAAAAAGGGCCATACTGGACTACTATGCGGTCTCATCGGAGTCATATCAGGCCCAGTTCCGGACTACACCCCGCCTCCCAGAGGCCTCCTTCAAAATGTTTGCGCACAAGTTGTCAGTAGCCTGCCACCGGTGGCAGGAAGGAGAGAAAGCAACCTCCCCTGAGCAGATCATCCAGGCCATCCTGAAGGAACTATTCCTTTTTAAGTGCCCCCCCTCAGCTCCGACAGTGGGTGTGTGAACAGAAACTTGCCACCCTGGAAGAAGCTGCAGCCTTAGCGGATGAGGCGCTCCTCATTAACCTACAATGGAAGAAGCCTGCTGCCGAGACACCCCAAGCGGCCAGGATGCCCAATCCTACGCCAGTGCTCTACACGCCTCCCCATCGCCGGATGCCCCCACAAACAGTGCCAGCGCTACAGCACCTCCCACCCCGTTCAGCCACCTTGCAACAGTGCCCCAGACCGACCTTAGATAGGCGGTGTTTTGGCTGTGGACAGATTGGTCACTACAAGGCCAGCTGCCCCGCCAAGAAAAAGACTCTTGGGCCTAGCTTGCCCCGGCCAGTAAATTCTGTGGATCTGTACCAAGCTCCTGAGAACTTTCAAACACCCCCTTCAGACTGGGATCTCACTCCCGCAGACAAGGGCACCCCCCCAGGAGTCTTTGGCCTACAGCCGGTGGGGGCCCCTACCCAGAGCTTTAAAGGAAAATACTTGCAAGAGGTCACTGTGGATGGACAAAAGACGATGGGCTTCTGAAACTCAGGGGCCTTCCTCACCATTGTGGACCACCGAGTGGTGCACCCTGATGCTGTGCAGCCTGGCCCTGGGATAGTGATTCAACTAGCAGGGGGCACCAAACGCTTCATCCCTCTTGCTACTGTCAATCTGGACTATGGCTTGGGGCCTAAATGCTGCAACGTGGGTGTAATGGGAGGACTGCCTGCAGATGTGCTTCTGGGAATGATGTGGGCTATCTTCAATGTCACTTTGTGAGAGCCATCACATGACATCAGGCCTGCTGGGAAAACGCTGAGAGGAAGGAGGCACCCCAGCATGTGGACGGACCCCGCTGCCCGTGGTGAGTGATTCAACTTTGACTGCTGACAATACTGGGGTAACATGGGACCGGGACAAGTTTCAAAGGGACTTAGCCACCGACCCTACTCTGACAAGCTTCTGGGCCCAAGTAGGGCTGACTGGTCCGGGAACTGGCAAAAGAATAGTGCAGGAAAATGGGTTGCTGTACCGAGTGGGTGGAGACCGACGCCGAAGGGGGGACCCCAGACCATGGCTAAACAGCTGATAGTTCCCCAACAATTCTGGACCCAACTGCTACACCTTGCCCACGATATACCCATGGCTGGGCATCAGGGGAAGCTACGGACCAAAAAGAGGTTGGCCCAGGCCTTCTATTGGCCTGGGATGTCCCAATCAGTAGCTCGCTACTGCCGTACCTGCGATACCTGCCAGCAACATGGAAGAACAGGTGGCCTGCGGGCCCCTCTACAGCCCCTACCCATCATTGAGGACAAGTAGCTATTGACATTCTGGGCCCCTTAGCTCGCCCCAGCAAATCCGGAAAGCGGTACATCCTGACCATCGTGGACTATGCTACTCGTTATCCCGAAGCAGTCGCCCTGTCCAGCATCACAGCTCCCAAATTTGCAGAAGCCATGGTTACCGTCTTCACACGAGTGGGCTTCCCTGCTGAAATCCTGTCAGATCAGGGGACTCAGTTCATGTCAGGCCTTGTTCAATCCCTCTGGCAGACCTGTGTCTGCGGGCCATCCAGACAACCCCCTATCACCCCCAGACCAATGGACTGTGTGAACACTTCAACGGGACCTTGAAGGCCATGCTACGGGCCTTTGTAGACCTAGAGCCAGACTGGGAAAGATACCTGCCCCACCTCCTCTTTGCCTACCGGGAGGTGCCCCAGGAATCTACTGGATTTTCCCCCTTTGAACTGCTGTATAGGCGGAAAATCCACGGCCCCCTGACCCTATTGAAGGAATACTGGGAGGGTCAACTACCAGATACCAGGGTCCCTGTGGTGCCTTATGTCTTGGAACTGCATGAAAAGATGGGACAACTAGCTGGCCTTGCAGCTGACCATCTCCAAGCAGCCCAGGCCCGGCAAAAGACATGGTATGACCGCACGGCACGCACCCGGGAGTTTACTGAGAACCAACAGGTCCTCATGATTGTCCCAAATCCCCAGAACAAATTGCAAACCACATGGGAGGGACCCTTCCGTGTCATTAGGAAAGTGAATGACACAAACTATATTCTCGGACTAGATGATCGGGGGAGACGGCAGAAAATGGTCTGTCCAATACCCTCTGAGGAGGAGGAAGAGGCCGTACCGGACCTCCTGGAAACAGCGTGCCATCCAACTGACGTGCACCAGCTGCACCTGAGTCTGCAGCTGAACCTGGGGCAACAGGGGGTCATGAATGCTGTCCTGGGCCAGTGCAGTTCCGCTTTTTTGGCCCGGCCTGCAAAGACCACTATCACCACTCACCATGTAGAGACCCTGGGAACCCGGCCCCTCCAACAAGCCCCATACTGTGTCCCTGAAGCCGTTAAGAACACTATGAGACAGGAACTGAATGAAATGCTGGATCTGGGAACTATTCAGCCCTCCCAGAGCCCCTGGGCATCTCCTGTTGTTCTTGCCCCCAAGAAAGATGGTAGCATC